TTATATTTAAACTTAATAATTTTAATTATTATATATATTTTATAAAACTAAATAATAATTTTATAAAATTTTTAAAGTATTTATTTTAATTTATATATTTATTTTTATTTAAATTTTTATCAAATATATTTAAATAATAAATTTATTTAATATTATTAAAAAATATAATAATTTTTAATTAAATAATTTTTTATTAAATTTTTAATATATTTTAATAATATTATTAATAATTTTATTATATTTAAATATTTAAAAATTTAAATAAAGTTTTTTATTAATTTAAAATTTTTAAATTTTTAAATTAATTAATAGAAAAAGTAAAACATTTAATTTAAAATTAAATATTATTTTATATAAAATTTAAATTTAATTTAAATAAAATTATATTAATAATTTTAAAACTATTTTAATTTTTTTTTTTAAATTTTATATATTTTTTAAAAGTTTTAAAATAAAATTTAAAAAGTAAACTTTTAATATTTTAAATTTAAATTATATTTAATTATATTTTATTTATTTTTTAAAAAATTATAATAATATTAATATATAAAAATATATTTTTATTATAATTTATTTAAAATCAAATATATATTAACTATTTATTATTTTAGAAAATAAATTTATTAATATATATAAATTTATTAATATATTATAAATTTATTATAAAAATAAATATTTATAAATTATTTAATTTCTATTTCAATTATAATTTAATTATTATAAAAATCAATATTAGATTTTCAGTTGTTTAAAAATATGTTAAATTAATCTTTTTAAATATTTTTATTTCTTAAAAATAATGATGCAAAAATAAAGCTTAGTCTGATGCATTAGCTGATTTAATTATCAGAGCTCAGATGTATGACCATCACAAAGATACCGTAATTGTGTCATGCCATACAGGACTCGGATGTCCTCATCCTTGGTGCAAAGTAATGTCAATATAATTATTTGCCGCCTGAGTGTAGAGGTTAAAATCTAGTTACTTTTGCTCTTTGTGGTTTGTTGATTGGTTCGATGGGGTGATCGGCCTGGTGGGGAATTACGTTATGGTTTGCGGCCCATGGATTCTGCTCCAGATGGATCTACTCGATACTCTATCGTCGGCCTCTGCAAAGTCAATGCTCTGTTGTCGGCTAATGAAATTCGAGCTCCAACTCAGTTCAATCAATGTCAGTTCCGTTCTCCCGCTCTGCTCTGCTCTGCTCTGCTCTTCTTCACGTGAATATGATATCCTCGACCATCGCTCTCCATGCTTTTTCTCGAATTTATGGTACATACATACATACATTACATGCATGCATATATCTCGTACAGGAACCGGTTGGTTCGAGCGTCCAAAAGTCCGGGAAAAGGCTTCGCAACTACAACAGCCGCAACTTCAGCCCTGCTTCCATCACCTGGATAGCCCGCGGGAGAAAGGAACTAAGCTTCTTGTGGGCTTGACTAGGGTTGAGTGCGTTGATTGAAGAAGACACGAAGGCTGCCGAACGTCCTATGTTGAATTGAAGATTGGGGCCGAAGAAATAAGGGGGTTGAAGACTAGAAGATCGATCTATGAATAAACTGTTCGGTCATCTCCTAGCTCTCAAATGCTATTTCTCGGTACGCTGATGGGATGAGCATCAGGGTCCTTATTGTTCAACTGAGATGTAATTGGATCATGGATGAGGGTTTTTATCTTTTCCCTTTCACGTTTCACCTTTCCTGTTGTCAAAACACAACGAAGATGACGCAGATGGAGCAACTAACTCTAGAACACGGGATCTCACATAGAGTTTCCGGAACGAAGCTGAGATATCCATCCACCACCTGCTTGTGAGGACAGGGAATCATAGTTTCGAGACCTTCCAGCTTAAATATTTTATTCAACATTTAGGGCCAACATTTTTCTAAAGGTAAAAAGTAATGAGAATCATATTTATTCTGGTTCTGCTGGCCCAAACCAAATCCCATCTTTGAGAGATAAACCCCCTGTTCCCTGCTTCAGCTGCCGCTGCTGCTTAGAGCCAATCCTACTGCTGCTGATTTCTTTATATTCAGACACCGCAGTTTTCCCAGTCGTTGTGTTAGTGATATGTACAATCCACAATCCAGCTTAAACACGGCACACAGCAGTGAAACATACCTTGTGTTCTCATTTTATCGACCCGAGGGCAGAACATGTAGATATTGAAGCCATACAACTAAACCTAAAGCAACCAAAACGAAAAAAAGGCGAAAGATTCTTCACACCTTCACGTGCGCAGGGTTGGAGATCTTAGAAAAGTGAGTCGGACTTGTGTGACTAGCTAGTCAAGACCCTTACTATATTGTGCTGCATAACACACCATGAAAGCAGCAGAGGATAGAGGTGCGGTGGATGAGGTTTTGTACTGGTGGAGGGGTAGTAAGGAGAACAATGAAGGGGTAAGTTGGGTTGGTGTTAGGTTAACTACGCGACCCAACATTATTATTTTGACATGCACTGTTAATCAATGTTAGTATTCGAGGGTTGTGCCCTTGAGATGAAACACAAGGGCTCCTAGATTTAGCTGGCCAGGTGTGACGCTTGGGTTGGTGGAAAGGGGCCAAGAGAGTTTCGGAAAAATGCTGAAGGAGATAGACGCAAACGGAGTTTGTTGAGTATTTCTTTCTTTTTTCTTACGTCGTTCCTCTTATTCCCTCTCCTTTTCCTTATTGGCAAGAATCCTGGCTCCTGAACAACGTGTCGTTCACAGCACTGGATATCGTCAGGCGATGGGACGTTTGCTCGTTAGTGTCGCCTGGATAGTTTAACGTGGTGGGGCTGTTCCGTCCAGTAGTAACATTCCTGATCGCCAACTTCGGTTTGTCCATTCAGTTGAGAGGTGGACTTTAATCATTTTCATATCTTCAAGTATGGACCCAGCGTAGGTAGTACTTAAACTTCCGCGGTTGCCAAACAGACTGTGACGGGATCGTCAAGTCGTTCCTTGTATTGCCGTATCCTGTGCGGGCTCGGCTACATGTCCCACATGCAGTGCATTGGCCTCAAATAAGTTCCCAACGGCTTGATTCTCCGGAGAGCTAGATGAAACTTTTTAAGGATTTTAGGATTTGCTCTTGCTAGTGTTATTGGCAGATAGGGAGACAAATGTTCGTCATAGTAGCAAACCAGTGGAAAGCAACGAGATCGATGGAGGTATTACTGGCATAATAGAGCTGGGGCAAAAGTCTTCTTGCTTCGTTCGCACCAGCTGCGGTTTTTATTCGAAGCTCCCTTCCCCTCTCCCTCGTCTCCCTCCCCCATTCCATATGATGCGCACGCATTGTGAGAAGCCCGAGGGAAAGGGGTGCACGACATATCGTTACATAGTTGAACCGTTTTTAAGCGCAACCAAAGAAAGCTTGACATAGAGCTCTTTTCTCTTTCACTCGTTTAAACCCCTTTCTCATAAGCTTGCACTGACGGAGAGTCGGGAAGGGGAACCGGCAAAGGCGCAGATTAACGAACATGTGGCAGACGGCTTGTCCGCTCACTTAAAACACTGTTGGCCCAATGTTGACAAGGGTCCTTGAGCCCTGGATGCAAAGAGAAATCACTCCTCTGGTTCTTCTTCAATGGCGAGCAGGTCCCGCGACAGCCCATATTCTATTGTGAACCAGAGGATGGAGGGGAAAGTTTAAAGCAGAAAAGAAAACTGGCGATACAGGGCCCAGCATGCGATCATCGTTGACTCAGCCATATCTCGATTTGCGCTTCTTTCTTTCTTTCTTTCTTTCTTCTTTCTTTCTTTTTCTTCTTCTTCTCTTTATATTTTATTTATATTTTATTTATTTTTATTAAAATAATTCCACTCGCTGAAGATCTTGGCAGAGGGACCTTATCCGCAGGGTCGTTCTGTATGGAACAAACATAGAAAAAGCAAAGACGAGAATACCAGAGGTCCGTGCCACGCAGGCAGTCGACTCTGTTCCTACCAATGCATGTCGCTCAAAATTGAGGTCCTCTGACTACGGGTATTTGCTGATGGCTTGTTGGCAAGCCTTGGATCTGGAGAGAGTGCAGTGCGGGAACTTTCCCCTCCAGCGCCACCATATTTGCTCCCGAACAGTTGATTTGAGAGAGCTCATTTTTGGGGCAGAGCAAAGAAATGTAGTTTGAAGCGATCTGATGTTGAAGAATAGGTTGGGTATATAGTGAAGAACATAAAAGAAATATGGCTGAGGTGCAGGACAATGTTGTCAAACCACCCATAGTCTATCCGCAAATCGGTGAGACGTAAGCTGATTGACTAATAAAACTGAATGTCGCAAAAAAAAAGAAGATTTTGAAGCGCAAGAAGCGATGTATCGTAACCCACATTTCATCCCCACAGCTGTCCGTTAATTTGGTCATGGATCGTAATAATGTGCCTAGAAGAACAAGACGTCGATAGATGTACCACAATAATTTTGCTTGAGTTCCTTTCTAGTGTTAGTGGTCCTGGTAGTGGCTAGACCTCTTGGGGAGGGGCCTAGTACGTTCCAGGGCAGCTGCCACTGAATCCGGGGGGTGATAATGCCTAACCTGCTGATTTTTGGCGTTCTGGTTGGCCCGCACCGGGGGTGTGTGATGGGGTTGGGAGGCTTTGCGCCCTAAACCTGGTTAAGAATGAGCCCCGCTTGGGGGCTTAGTGTGGGGAAGGAAGGTTACTTCTCGTATAGTTACCAGAACTTAGGAACATATCCATCGCTTGAAGCAATTCGAAGAGCTTGACAGGTTCTCTTCACAATACTGCCACCACCACCACCATCATCACCATCACCACCACCACCATCATCATCACCATCACCATCACCATCACCATCACCATCACCATCACCATCACCGTCACCGTCACCATCACCATCACCACTACAATCACGACCACGATATTGTCTCTTATCACACCCGCCAAACAGGCCACTGCTGCATCTCATAACGGACCAGTCTTCCCCTTGATGACTCGGGACTGCTCATCGTGCGACTTGCGCTCAGTACCCGGTACGCAACAGCACAGCAAGGAAACTCCGGATCAATGCCAAGACGGCCAGCTACGTTTTCCAGTCACGAAGCGAGGCCAGAAGAATAGCCAAATGCTTGCTTAATGTCAGAGGTTCGCAGCTCGAGTTGAGAAAGAGACCCGAGTGTGTGTGCGTGTCTGCCTATGAGTGTTGTGTCTTTTTAATCCTTAACCAGCCATGCTCTCCACTGCCGACCAAAATGGCGTAACCAGAAAGGTTACAAAACCCAAGTCGAAGGATCATTCTGAACACCTCATGAAGCGCGTCTCAAGAGCTTGTTTGCACTGTCGTCAGCGCAAATCTAGATGCGATTTGTAAGTGGCATGGTGGCATCAGAGAATCAATGTCATACATGTTTCTCAACCTTTCCACCCTATACAAGAATGGCAGAGTTGAAAGAAGAGCTGAAAAAAGGGGAGAATATCGAATACTCGACAGGAGAAACAATTATTAACGACAAACCTCTTACTGACTGGTTTTCTAATGTACAGGGACAGCAGCGGAAGTCCGGGAACTCCTCCTTGTCAGCGTTGCCTACGAGATCACCGTGAATGCGTCCTAGGCAGCTCAAACAGAGGCGGTCGTCGTATTCGCAAGCCTAAAATCACCAATCTTGATATCGACCCCAATTCCTCTGGCAATAAGTCGATGCACCTCGCTCCAAGTGGATCCTCGGGGCCTCCAGACCAGCATCAATTTTCCCAGCACCAATATCCGTCAGACCACTTTGGACGGTCAGATCCACCTACCACCTCTACTATCAACATAGACGACGACGATTCTGCATCTACTACTGACAGTGCAATTGGGTCGGTCCCGAGGAATCCATCAGACGCATGGCAATGTCTAACTAATGTTGCCAAACGGGGGGCAGAGACCGCAAATCTTGACAAAACAGGAGAACACTATTCCGATTCCACAAGGCGTGCCCGGTTGAGCGGAGAAGAAGACGACGAACCCCCCCTTTCAGGCATCGATGCCTATCGACTCATAAAAAATGGTTCTCTAACCCGCGAGACTGTTTCCCATCTGGTAACCCGCTATGCGGAGAATTTCCATCCTTACCTTCCCCTGGTCCCACGAAAATATTTCGACCCAGCTGCTCTGGAATCATTTGCGTCGCAGGAGAAACACCTTCTCACGGCTGTTCTTACTATTGCTTCAAAGGACCTCGTGGACACGCCGCAGGTTCACGATACCTGCTCCCAATATATGCACGAGCTGATATCGGGCATTGCGGCTGGTATAGATTGCGATGTTGAAGCGGTAGAGGCTTTGCTACTCCTTGCTGAATGGGAGCCACAAGGCCTGCGGCCAAAAATTGAGGCTGTTGGACGAGGAGAAGAGGATAGGGCAGCTTGGATGCACGTTGGATTGGCTCTACGCTCAGGATACTTTCTTGGTCTCGACCGCACCTCTTTTAGAGGTGATCCCACAATTGACGCGCAAGTTGATGGACGGAAACGGCTGGCATGGACCAGCTGCTATATTTCCGACAGACTGATATCTGTTCGCATTGGGAGGGCATTCTGGTCTCGGGGTCCTGGCCCTATGACTGGACTTGTAAGTCAAGACTTCCCATCTCTACAACCTCTCACCTCGACCGATGAAGACTACGCAAAGATTTTCCAGGCTCTCCTGGATCTCACACAGCTCTACGGAAACGTCCACGACGTCCTTTACTCCGGGATGCGCACGAGCAGTCAGATGATGCTTATGGGGGATTATGTGAAATATGTTGACGATTTTCGTAATGCCATTGACCGTTGGAACCGTATTTGGGGGACGCTAACTTGTAAGCCCTAGTCAATCACTAGTCCCGACTAGATAAGAGTCGTTTTTTTTTATATATTTTATTCTTCAATTGCTAATAAAGGAATCTATAGGCTCTCCACATATCAAAGTGACGCTACAGATGTCTTACGAATATTTGAGGTTGTACACCAATGCCTTCGCGTTCCAAGCGGCAATCTCGCAGGCCCTTACCTCCAAGCCCAAGGGGGATGCCTTGAGCCAGAGAGATCACCTACGGGCAGCATTCAGTAATGTCGCGTCCATGCAGGATGCTCGGTTTATATACGCATCAGTGGATGCGGCGAAATCCTATCTTACAATTTTGAATAACTTCGTTGATCCCGAGAAACATTTGCATTTTATGCCGCTGAGGTATTATTTGTAAGTTGAATCTTCATGGAAGCAAGCGGTGAACATTCGCTCACCATCCTTTTTGAATAACAGGTACAGCATATATGCGGCCGTATTTCTCTATAAGGTAACACTCAGCAGCACTCTTTTGCTTTCTATTCTCTCCAAAGCAGCGCAGGACTCAGTAACATATGTACTTCATAGGCGCGGTCATTTGGAGTAATGAATACTCAAGAGGAACAAGGAGTTCGACATTTAATAAACCTCACAACGGATAGACTCCATAGAGCGAGCGCTGGACCGGACGACATCGGTGCGCGGTATGCTCGACTGCTAGAGCTGCTGTGGAAATCCAAATCATCCTCTTCTTCCGCCTCTTCAACGAACACGCAAGAGCCGCCGCGCAAAGATGAAAGCGTTCCCGCAGGTGCAGTTCCAAATAGACTCCCGGAGCAGTCATATGTGCAATACAGCCCTATGAACGACTTCTCCTGGCTAGATCTAGGGGCTGTTGGTGACTATGTCTCTGGATACCCCATTGGGAACCCCGGCATTATCGGTATGAATTCATATCAGCACCCCAATTCATACCCCGCAACCTCAGAGGCTATTTGGCCTGTTCAAAGTTTGCAGGTTGACCTTAACGGCAACCTCTTCTTTTGAGTTACGGTCTAGGTGGTGTTCTCTCGTTCCTGCAGAGGCGTTTTGATTTACCTACCGAGGCATACAGTTGACTCTATTAACGAGAAACTGTGGTTCTAGCAAATTTTGGCTCTTAATTGGCTCATGCGCGCCTTAGTTTCCCGGTTTGGAAGTGGGGTCCGGCTGTCCGACGGTTCGGGCATTACGTCAGAAGGTTAAACCAGTTCCCCGCCCAAGACCAGACGAGGGCATATATATTTATATCAATGAGGTTGTTGCAACAAGCACCGGGTGGCTCTCTGGGGTCTCGTGTGTGGTTCTTGTGTGTGATGTGCCCACTCAAGCAGCCAAAAACACCTTCGAACCTCCCATACCACAAGTAGGCAAATATTTTTATTTTTATCCCTTCCCGCCTCAATGGCTTCCCTTAATGAAATTGAGGGCCGCCTCGCTCTGATAACGGGCGCTTCTTCGGGGTCAGTAGTTTTCCTTTAGGATCTCAACTGAATCCAACGAAACTAGTCCTGTCGCCAATCTAAAATGTTGACGTGGTTTATTTCCCCGGGCGCAGCATAGGCGCAGCATGTGCCCGTAGACTTGCACGACGAGGCGTCCACCTTGCACTAACCTACTCCAAAAATCTCGATGGAATGCGCGCTGTAGTCGACGATATCAAACGGCTTAACCTCACTGCTGCAGGGTGCCCGCTGAGAGTGTCAATCCATCAAGTCGACGTTGGTGTCTCCGAGCAGATCAGCCGCATGTTCGAGGAGATTGAGCACGAGCACATGCAAACCCCTGACATCCTTGTATCGAATGCAGGTTACGGCAAGCGCATCTCACAGATATGGGATATCCCGTTGGAGGAGTTTGATTATACAATCAATGTGAATTTACGTGCATCGTTCCTTTTGGTGAAGGGGGTTGTGGGGCGGATGAAGGAGCAGCGATGGGGTCGGATTGTGTTCATATCTTCCATTGCGGCATATGGTGGAGGCATTAACGGATGTCGTACGTTTTGTCCATCTTCTCCAGTTTTTCAAACCATTACATTTTTCTTTTGTTGCCCTAGACGGGGGGGGGGTATGTATGCTCTAACAACTTCACCATAAACAGACTATGCGGCGTCCAAAGGCGGTTTGGCTGGCATGGTGAAAAATCTTTCAACCCGCCTTGCCGAATATAACATCAGCGTCAACGACGTCGCCCCTGCGATGATCGGAGAAACAGGCATGATCCCCAACGCCCAAGCAATTCCGGATGTTGCAGCTAGCATTCCTCTGGGCCGGTTGGGATTACCCGAGGAGGTTGCCAATGTCGTGGAAATGTGTGTGCAGACGGGTTACCTAACGGGCCAGAGTGTAGTGTTGGCGGGAGGCTTGAAGTGAAGATAACGTTATAGATCGTTGTATAAATGTCTTAGATTTATGTTCAGATTTGTGACTTCTTATGTGTGAGATGCAATTGAGACAAGCGAAGGTGCATGTGCAGCATGGTTATCTTTCAGCTTTTATTATTCATGTTTTACATTTATTTTTTATTTTTTATTTTTTATTTTTATTTTTTGGCATATATTGTGTCCCATTTAACTGCAGCTCTACGAGAGAATTAGAGCCCCTCTTGAGATGTGGGAGTAACACCATACCTCTCGACGATCTCTCCCCTGCCTAGGGCCCTAAGACTAATAAAAGTGAAAAAAATTAAAACTAATATTCAATCACCTGCTCAAAAACTCCTCCTCAGATATAATCAGTAAATCATAATTCGTAACTCGTAACCGAGAATAATCCATCCAGCAGCTACTTGCATCATCTCTTTACAGTTCCGGTCCCCTCCCGTCGTCTTCCCCCGAAACAACCATAACCTTAACAACCGCCCTCCCCTCCTCATCCACCCCTTTCCCCGCCAGCTCAAACGCCCGAACACCATCCTCCAGCCGCACCCGATGGGTCGCTACCTTTTCCGCCACACCCTCGAGCTTCCCACTACCCATCAACTCCACCGCATCGGGGTATCCCCGCGCATCATACCGAAACACGCCAATGAGATCCACCTCGCGCAATGCCGCTGCGGCCAGCGGTATGTGAGGCTGGGGTTCCCCACCCATGCCAATCAACACCACCGCGCCACCGGGCCCAGTGGCATGGATACCTGTCCGAATGCAGCTCGCCACGCCAGTGCAGTCATAGGTGCGGCTGAAGCCATACGGAATGGAGAATGTGGAAAGGATCTGCTGGGCCGTCTTCGTCTCCGTCTCCGGCGGCAGAGCAGAAGCCGAAGTGGATTTGGGGAGCAGAAATGTCTGTATCTTCCCCTGTGGGAAGGGGAGGGATGAAGCGAGGTTCAGCCTCGCCTCGTCAATATCTGCAATGATGAGGGTGGTGAAGTGCTGCGTTGCGGCCAGCGCGGATGCGAGCAGGATACCAATGGCACCGGCCCCGAAGATCAGCGCCCCGGTCTCTTGGCCGCCGGACCGTGCGAGGTCCACCAGCTCCGCGCTAGGAGGCTTCGACCGGCGTATCGCATGCAGACACACCGCAAGCGGCTCTATCAGGGCGCCCTGCACATCGTCGACGGTTGCGGGGAGCGTATGGCACATCTCTGCGGAATGGTTGGTGCATTCCATCAGGGTGCCATCGAGGTGGGGGAAGGTCTTTGCTGAGCTCCTGAACCGCAGTTTGCGACAGATGTTGTAGCGGCCTTGCAGGCAGAGGGGGCAGGAGTGGCATGGCAGACCGACTTCGAGGGCGACGCGGTCGCCGATGTGGAAGGTGTCGGCAACATCGGGGCCAATTGCTGTGATGATTCCCGATGATTCGTGTCCGAGACAGAGTGGGGATTGCACGATGAAGTCGCCGTTTCGCCCATGGTTGTAGTAGTGCAGGTCTGAGCCGCAGAGACCAGTGGCCCGGATTGCGATTTGGAGTTCGCCGTGTTTCGGGGCTGGGGTGAGGCGAGATTCCTGGGGTGAATGTTAGCCAGGGTTGATGCCCCTTTTTATTATTATTATTATTATTATTATTTTATTTATTTATTATTTCTTCCAATTTTCCCGTTTTCTCTTTTCTATCACTATTTTTTTTTTGGGGGGGGGGTTTTCTGCGGGCGTTATTTGGAATCAGAAGAACTGATATCAAAGACCGTAGCCAGTGGCTTAACGAAGTCGTGACAAGAAATTGCGAAGCTTAGTGACGTACTAATCTAAGGTCTCTGGGAGCATGAAGCACAAGGGCATGAGTAAGTTTTTCCTTGGAAGGAGTCGTCATTATCGGAGTTTCTAATAATCAAACGAAAAACAATAATATATATGTGTATATATAGAAAGAAAATGGAGAATATATTTTCTCTAACTGCCGCATATGGTAGCTGGATGCGAATGACCTTTTAATAGCGGCGAATGGATTGCACGTATCTAAGCGTTTACCATTCGATATCCGAGTTGTCAGCGGGGAACAAAGAAACTTGCAACCCAAAGAATATATAGTTCTGGCAAATGGTGGTCTTTCTCTTGATAATAATATATTAAAAGGGCGAGGAGCCGAACCACCGGAATTCCACTGAAAATTTTGTTCCTTACTGTTAAACATCGCATTGGGACAAAGAGCGGAACATCCTCCGAAGAACGGGAGTGTGTGTCCTCTGCCGACAGTTGACTGGTGGGGGTTGTGGGAAACCTACAGACACAAGCCCCCTCCCGCCATAGAAACCAGCGAGGGCGATGAGCTGGTAGCTTGTGTGATATGGGGTGCAAGAGTTAGTTTCACAGTCTCGAGGCCTTCTGAGATGATGCCTCTTCAAGGGTGGGCGGTTAAATAGTGGTTTCATTGGGTTCATGCGGGTGCTGATACTAAGCAAGACTGCAACGTTTGCCACAACAACCTGGACGACGTTCATTATCCGACACATCGAAGTGATGTGCAACGGCACAGGGGATGACAGACGAGCAGGCCGCAGAAAGGGCAAAGTCGCTGACTGCCCGGTGGAGAGAGCAAACTGGTCCGCCATAATCGGATTGTTTTAGCCTTTGCCTCCGTTTCATGTTTCTCTGCCCGTTCCTGGGGGATGATAATCCTGGGGGATGATAATATCCTCTTAATTTCCCTGGAGTCATGGTGCTGATCTTGACCTCCATTTTCAATTGCCGATACACTCCCTGGGCCCCATCACATGCACTAAAAGATCTGCCTGGCGGAATGCTCTTCGACGCATGCCATTGCGCGGACGTGCCGTTGTCCCTGGCCTTTTCACAGGCTGAGGCTACGCGCAAGATCCTGTTCTGCTCATCACTTTCCATCTTCCACGGATACCGCAAAATGAATAAACTCTCGTCAATCGCGGAAAATATCCAAGGGAGAATGGAGCAAGGAAAATATCCAGAATGTGTCGGAGCTAGTTTCCCCCATGGACCAAGTTCCAGGGAAACCCCAGAAAAATCGCTTGTGATTTGGCCATGATATAAATACGGCGACGGAGCACGGTAACATCGAAATCATATTGTCAGCACAATCCTCTACTCGCCATCTTCTACCCAGGTCGATAAAAGATCTGATTTATCAATCTCGCGCTCCTGTTGTAACCACTGCAGATTCTACCGATTCCGTCTTTCTAACCCGTCTCTTGTGGGTGGTTATTCTTTCGTCAACGCAAGCAAGAAGACCAAACCAGGATCGCTGCCGGCGTCGTTCATTGCATATCAGGATTAGTAAATTTCTAGTTTTGTTTTTGCTCCTTGCTGAGAAAGACTTACCTTTCGAGAAAATTAAGTGAAGAGGTCAACGGTAAATCTTCCCAATAGGAATATCAACCCATAATCCATGGACAAAGTGTTCGATTACCCATTCAGATTCTTACCCGTATATGTGCCACCTCTGGCTCCACCTGGTAGGCAGAATTCAATAGTTGCGTCGTGTGGACTAGTATTGATCTGCCCTTCCCCCCCCCACCCAACCCCCCCAATTCTCCCATTGAAGCTGGGCTCCCAAAGCTTCATTCGTTTCTCTTTTGAGTTAGGAGCACTCATTTTGCATGCTCGAACTCGTTGCTGATTGGTATGGCACAAAATATGCAGAGTCTTGACGGAAACCATCATCTTCTTTCGCTATATCAAACCGCCGGATCATTCTCGATTTAATCCAACGACCAAATGACAATGCCAGACCGAGCAGTCCTCCTCATCGGCGACATTGTCCACTGCAATAAGGAATGGAACGCGCTATCGTCTATTGTCACTCAAAAGGCACGTAGCTATAATCTCCTTCCCATTTAACTTCGAAGCAGGATTCTTCAATGATATTTTTGAGCTGCATGAATCCCTTATTGCGATCCTGTTTACCAACCGCCCCCTGTCAAAAGACGTTCTGTTACCCCGAGATCACCCAAAGTATAAGGCATTTGTAGTCCCGTCCAGTTCATCGTGTTTCGTTGCTATTTCTGCTTATGTATATACAATCGCTTTCATCTCTCGTTCCTCCTCTTGACTTCCATTGCCTCTTTCGGCGCTTCGATGCGAACAGCGAGTGCGCAGGAAGTAAGGAAGGAAGTGCAGTTATCAGGACGGATTATGACGTCCATGAGAAGCCTTGCAATTCGCTAAACAGCCTTGGCCACTCTTATTTGGCAGCCATCATTTGTCGGGGCCGAAGAGGCCATAACTTACTGCCTTGATGCTCTCATCCGGACTGCTGCCGCTTTCATCATTACGTCTCGTGGCCTTTGATCAATTCTGCCCAGAGATTGCAATGATAGCTAGATGTCATGCTTCTCGATTAGGCCTTGTGCGTTATTTTTGTTCTGTGCCCTTGTATTAGACCGATGTCCCGCGAATTGGTGTGAAATGGACATCGGAGATCTGGTCGATCAGGGTGGAAAAAGGCAAAATAAGGGAGAAATAATGCTAATAGACTGCAGGAATATCGCCAAGGAAATCGAGCTGAATTCATGAATAATTGCAGAAGTGGAAAATATGACGATGTGGTCGCGATATACCGGTCTAACGAATCCGTCAAGGTAAGCCTGATGGTTGAAGTTTTTTCGGATTCAAAAAAGTATAACGCTTGAGAGTCACAGTGGGATGGGTTGTACCACAGGTCACGGCCTGCGGTTTTTATGCATTCTGTTAGTTCCCAGCACTGACGACACATGTCACGCATGTCATGCATGTCATGCAGTTAACCGGTCCCTTCGATGCTGAGCTTCTCGGCGTGCTTCCCAAGTCACTCAAGTTTATCTGCCACAACGGCGCTGGATATGACAACATCGACATCCCATCTTTCACAAAAAAGGGTACGTATAATTGCTTTTTGAACTCGGTTCAAAATTTTCATTTCTCACTAAACCAAGCGCTGTGGATATTAAAGCGCTGACACACTTTGTTCAGGGATCGAAGTCTCCAGCACTCCCAGAGCTGTTAACAATGCCACTGCAGACATAGCTGTCTTTCTGATGATCGGTGCATTAAGACAGGCGTGGATTCCACAGCAGGCTATTCGAGCAGGTGAGTTTAAGTTTCTCAACGATTCTGCTCCTATTAGATTCACAGGATCGGATGCTTAACCAGTATCTACTAGGACACTGGCGAAGCGAAATGGAGCTTGGGCATGATCCACAAGGGAAAGTTCTGGGTATATTGGGGATGGGAGGGGTTGGTATGGTAAGTTCAATGCCCGATATCCATGGTAATTTGGGCCGCCACCAAAAAAAAAAAGAAGTTATGTAATTAACTGGAACTTTTGGATGGTGTAGCAAGTCGCTCTTCGTGCGCAAGCCTTTGGAATGAGAATCATATATCATAATCGAAACCGAATCAACCCAGAACCAGAGGGAATGGTATACGTCTCATTCGACGACTTGCTTACGCAATCCGACATTATCAGTCTCAACTGTTCATTGACAGACGAGACTCGGCATATAATCGGGGGACCCGAGTTCACAAAGATGAAGAACGGTGTGATTATTGTTAACACTGCGAGAGGGGCTTTAATAGATGAGAAGGCGCTTGTGGGAGCTTTGAAATCAGGCAAGGTAACTAATATTCCGGCATACAAAATTATTAGTCAACACCACCGCTTAAAAACAAAGTCGAAATTTGTTCACGCTGACAGAATATTAATAATAGGTCCAATCTGTTGGCCTTGACGTCTATGAGCACGAGCCCACAGTCGAGAAGGAGTTGCTGGAGAACCCGAGGGTCATGTTACTTCCGCATATTGGGACCGTCACATATGAGACGCAAAGAAATATGGAACAGCTTGTGTTTGATAACCTAAAGTCATGTCTGAAGGAGGGGAAATTGCTCACCAAGGTTCCGGAACAGAGAATTCCTAACACAATATTGCTCTAAGTTACGCGTATGCAGAGCGACTTGGTAATTGGAAAGACAAGCGGTATTGATATTTTGTCAGGATCCGTCTGGGGTGAATCTTTTTGGTGAAGGTTATCTGTTTTAAGAGTTTGATAGTCTGACAGCACTTGTTTAGAATGATTCAGTAGTAATTGAATATGTATAAATAAAATTGGGCAAGTCTGGGTATTTCTCAACGTATTTTGCGCCGTAAAGTGAGTACAGTTAAGATTGCTTGTGGGTGATAATTTCGATGGATACTGTGGCACCCGCACGCCATCTCTCAAATCGCCAGTCCCAAAGCTCTCTAGAGATTCATTACCTTGCAAGGTGAATTTGTCGTCGATAGAAACGTTGTAGATTGTGATATTTGATGTCCCAAGGTTTAGGCGAGGTGAAATGGCACTAGACCCAACACAGCTTAGTGGTAGGGCTTCCGTTTTAAAACGCTATCCCCAATCGGGACTCGCTTAGCATCAGCACCTGAGCACGGCGATTGGCGGAAAAATGGTAGGGCCACACACCGTGACGAACAAAGCAGCCAAAGCTCCACCATATCAAACAACAGTTTTAAACGACGAACAATCTTTCCACTCAATACCAGCCCGACGACGAGGACCATCTTTCACCACGACAACTGTACCAAGATGGTGAGTATATTTTGCTCCCCTTGCCGATTGCGCCCCTATGTCGGCGATGGCCCCTATTTTTATCCATTAAGTTTCTCTCTGTTGGATATCGAATTTATATATCCATCTCTGCACAATCACGATACCCTTCTCTGGACGCTCTAGGGACGCCTCACTAACATACGTATCTCGAACCCAGGTCCGCTACGCAGCCCAATCGATTCAAAGCACGAAGAGTGCCCGCTCCCGCGGCTCTTACCTGCGTGTCAGCTTCAAGAACACTCGCGAGACCGCGCAGGCGATCAATGGATGGAAACTCCAGCGCGCGGTCGCCTATCTGGAGAATGTGATGGCTCACAAAGAGGCTGTTCCCATGCGAAGATATGCTGGCAGCACTGGCCGGTGTGCACAGGGTGAGCTTTTCTAAAATTACCCCTTGGCTGATAGTGGATTGGTCTTTTTGGTGTAGTGGATGGGATATTGGACCAGGAAGGTGATGTTGCTGGTAAAGTGGTAATGGAATGAATCGCTGTGGGGAGTTTCCGGAAGATTCAGCATCCTTTGTCGCGAGAGGGAGATGGATATAGTTTCAACGGAGGGACTAGTTTTGGCGGTTTGAGATAAAATCGAGCGGCCGTAGATTATGCTACCCTAGGCCTTTTGAATTGTGGCTGGAAAGACAGAATGAGCAAGGAACACACAGCAATTGGCAAAGGTGCTTGTGCTAATCAAGGCCTTTTACGGAATATAGGAAAGCAATTTGGTGTTTCCAAGGCCCGCTGGCCCGTCAAGTCCGCCGAATTTCTCCTCTCTCTCCTCAAGAACGCTGAGGCCAATGCCGACACCAAGGGTCTTGACACCAGCAACCTCATCGTCCAACACATCCAGGTCAATCAGGCTCCCAAGCAGCGACGACGCACTTACCGTGCTCACGGCCGTGTATGTTTTACCTACTATCTCTGACCTGCTAAGTTAGCTTCCCCGTGTTCCGGCTTAAACTAATTTTCTGCGTGCATATTTAGATCAACCCCTACATGTCCAGCCCATGCCACATCGAGCTCATCCTCACTGAAGGCAGTGAAGAAGTCCAGAAGCCCTCGACCGAAATCAAGGCCAGACTTTCGTCAAGACAGCGGGGTGCTCAGATCCGACGTGCTATTACTGCAGCATAGGTGAAAAACTAACAACAGAAGGAATAAAAAAGCGGCGCATATGGCATTGTAGCTACTTTTTTAAAAGGTTTATACACATACCAGAATAACACACCTTGTCATGCTGTTTGATTTAATGGTAGCGATTCTTTTTTTCTCTTTCTCCTTTCTTTTCAATTTCACCCGTGTGTCATTGATTTCACCATCCTTCCTATATTTTCATCTGGTTTTCTACCTCCTTTTCTTTACTCTGATTGTTGATGACTCGGGACTAAATTGAATTTCTCATTTACATTTTCTCTCTCCCGAATAACTAGATTTGAATCTTGCGTCCATGGTGGTTTAATGCTCGCAATAGATAGCAAGGAGTGTGCACCCAAGGGTGTCTTCAACGAACAGGCCCGTGTAAATCGTGACACTGAGGTGACCCAGGGATACGAAGGGAACCTCACTTAGGTTACGTCAGATATTTTGTATCGAACTCGATGCATATCGCCATGAATCAAACTTCCACCACCGCAAATGGTACCCACTGCCTGAACAAAATATGCACCTATATCACCTCCCAGTCAAAAAAAGTTCATGTCCCAAAACTCAAATATTTTCCACGCTTAATTGAGCTTCGGGGTATGATGGGTAACCAGCGGTATCTGCAGAAATAAGGATCATTATTTATTCACCATCTGTCTAGGATCCTCTTTTGTTTTTAAAGACCTCGCTTCCTGAAAACTTCACAACGTAACATTAAGAAATCGAGCTTTTTACGCACCGCGGCTAAGAAGCAGAAAAACTTTCTCGCTTCCATTTTGCGATTTGGCATCCTCCTTCCGTCGGTTTCGGTGAGCTGAGGTTTTAATGTATGCTTTCCCGCTGAATTTATGCAAGATCCAACCGATGACAGCACATTTGGGCGGTGGATGACCGACGACAGGACAGACAGCCCTTTGATCAAAGGAAATCCCCGTCCCAATCCCTACAGTCTCCAAAAACCCAGTCGGTTTCCAATGAAATAGCTGAGACCCAAGCACTTTTATGGGCTATACATTTTGATACATGGCGATTTCCGGTCGTCTAATATATTCGTTGACGATAACCTGAATATTCTGTCTGTACTAGACTGGAAATCTGGATCATATCCATATCTGTTCAGATGCTTGTTTGCCCAGTTTCGCACTTCGATACGATACCTTGCACTTCATCTTACGGAGAGAAACACGACGGCAAGCAAAGAAAATATCACACCGAGTGCCAGTCCCTTAGCAATCTCCTACTCGAGGGGAACCGCTTGAAAGAAACATCGCAGCATCTGAAATCACAGTGTTTTAAGCAAAGCCCTAGGACAGCCAATCTCAATGCTCATGCTTTGGGAATTAGCCTCCGAATCCTTGTCTGTGGAAGGATTAAGGCTAATGGGGTGAACACTTTTGACCTGGCATGTCATAAAATGATAATATGAGCTGCCAGCATTACCTGCTTTCATTGTGATTAAAAATGACACATTCATAGACCGGATTTCACGAAAGAATAGGCTAGGCACTTGCTGGTGTTGGGAATCATCCATCCTCGGTGACTTTCACGCAAGATTGTGTCTCTTTTCTCAACTCTGTTTCATTTTCAAGGAGAGGGCCTCTGATGCTGATTAATGACCATAATCACAGGGGCAGCTAGCCTAAATTCCCCCAGGCAGTTAAACTGGGTTTTGGGGTGAACAGAGTCCATCAACGATTGATATCCGTCCGACCATCAACTGACTATTCCAAAATACGAACAGTGCATATACAGGCTTCCATACAGAAACCCCACGGAGAATCGACGTTCCAGCATTTCTCGGTTTGCATAATAATAATAATATCTGTGAGTAAAGCCGTTCTATTACCATTTTGAAAATCTACTACTGGCTGTAGCCCTGGAAACCAATGAGCTGTTGTATTCATTTTCCTTAATATGAAGAGCAATAAGAGGAGAAGAGTCGTCAATTGGAAGAACATCGGTCTACCATGTATTTTTGTATGTGAAGCAACTAGTGTACCTATGCACCATGTCTGATTCAAAATAGCAGTTCTTGACCGGGAGTCATTTACCAGGTGCCGGATTGTCAATCGCTAGTTGAACTGGCTCAAATGCGACGAAAAATTAAAGAATGTCTCTCCTCACAAACCAAAAAGAAACACAAAAACAGCCAACTTTATTTGAACAATTCATATCGAACATTGGACGACCTGACATACTTATCCTTTTCAGTGTTCACCTGCTTCTGAAATCGGTTTCCTAACATATCCTCAGAATATCTCGAACATGGGGAGATTTATCCCTAAATCATAGGAGGCTGGGCAATGTGCGGGGAAATTTATACTCATTAGACAATTGAACTGTGAAGTTACATACAAGGATGGAAGATCGACATCAGATGAACTATGTGATCTTTCTAATTACAGTCTCATCAGTGTTACATGCGTCCTATCCATTCGTGTAGTATCCCGAATGTCTACCCAGATAACCGTGTTTCCGCTCTTTGTCAATGGCAGTCGACGAGACTGGCGACTCACTGCAGCCATGTAACACTGATGGCCATCAGTAGATTAACTAACTAATTGTGATGGTGGTCGGATTTTTGGCCATTTTCTCAACATTTATTTGCCTATAAGACTGTCAAAATCACTTGGATATTTTGACTGTTACAAGGATATGGATTCCGCGTAGATATTCCATCTCTTCAGCGTCATGATGTTTTCCCCTTTACTTTTCATTGTCACGGCTGCTTCTGCTCTACAAACCCTTCCACCAGTACGATGGCCTACCAGCGATGGCGGATCTGGTTTCACATTTTCCGCGACGACGAATACGGTGTATATCGATGAGACGTTTGCGACACGAAGTGATCAAAAAGGGCTAACTCTTATCCCGCCTTCTGCATATGAATTTGCGGAAACATTTCTCTTGGATTTGGAGCAAGTCACGGGCACAAAGTGGGATCTTCGGAGGACAAAGGAGTTCCCCAGGGATGCCAAAGGTATTCTGCTCGGCGGGTTTAGGGATGATGCCGATGGATTAACTTATGAAAATGGAACACCGACGGAGGAGGGTTACGAGCTCGAAATTAAGGATGGCGTAGTATTCATTGGCGGAACTGGAGCTCGTGGCATGTACTGGGGCACTCAGACACTTCTGCAGTTGTTTCTTATAAATGGCGAAAAGGAGATACCCGCTGGTCGAACAGTTGATGCTCCTTCATATTCGACCCGTGGATTCTCACTTGATGCTGGACGGAAGTGGTACTCTCCAACTTTCCTGAAAGAACTTTGCACATATGCGTCGTTTTTCAAGATGTCTGAATTCCAATACCATACCAGTGACAACTATCCCCTTAACCGTGGACATAATGAAACTTGGAATAAAGTTTACTCACAGTTCTCGCTACGGCCAGAGAACGAGGAATTACACGGAATTGTCCAGCGCGTGAACGAAACCCTTTCTCGAGCGGACTTTGAAGATCTACAGCGGCATTGCGCCCGGCGCGGTGTCACCGTTATTCCAGAGATCGAGGCTCCAGGACACTGTTTGTTCATCACCAAATGGAAACCGGAGCTTGCATTGAAGAAAAAGGATTTGCTAAATTTAACCCATCCCGAATCAATTCCTGTCGTTAAAGCCATCTGGGAAGAATTTCTCCCTTGGTTTCAGACGAAGGAAGTTCACATCGGGGCAGATGAATATGATCCCACCCTCGCGGACGACTATATAAACTTTGTTAACGAGATGGCTAAATTTGTGAAATCTAAGTCAGGGAAAGATATACGAATCTGGGGAACACACGAGCCATCCGAGAACCTTACCATATCGAAGGACATCATCATCCAGCACTGGCAGTATGGGCAATCAGACCCCCTTCAACTCGAGAGAGATGGATATCGATTCATTAACTCTCAAGACTGGTGGGCGTACATGTCAATTAAAAATGACCACATGCCTATTCTGCCCGCTCGCTATGCACAAATTTTTAACAACACTCGTGTTCTGAATTTTGCGGATCAGGCAGACTGGCAATGGGAGCCGTCCCTTTACAATCCGGTCAATCGGACGGAGCAAGTTAAACCAGACTCGAAGGGTAATAAAGGTGCTATCATGGCGGCGTGGAATGATAACGGATACGATGCCTCCACACAACTCGAGGCATACTACGCAATGAGGGATGGGATTCCTGTTGTCGCAGCCAGAGCGTGGGCGGGATCACGTGGAGAGCGTCTTGACAGCGGTTCTTTGTCAGGGACAATCGAGCTTCTAACAAACAGAGCCCCAGGTCAAAACCTTGACAGACGAATACTGTCCCTTGAAAAAGGTGGTATCAAGGCTCCTGACCCGCTAATAAAATGGAGCCGCGAAACAGGAGCAAAAACGCTAGGATATGGGAGCAAAGGGATGGACTACACCTTGATCCTCGACACGACTGGTCCGTTCAAGCTTATCTCGAACGATACAACGCTTTCCCTCTCCCAAGGCGGAAGTCTTGTCTTCACCTCCGATAACTGCGAATACCCGCTGAGGTCAGTGTCAGAGCATGATGGCTTTGATCCTGGTCACCCAGGTAGAATATGGACAAATGTTTCAAGTTCCACACACGAACCTGTTAGCGTCCCGCTCAAATCACAGCTAAAGATTAAAACTGACGTCCTTAGCGGAAGCAGAGTGTGGTTGGATGGGAAATTCGTCGGGAGGTTTGAGGTGTTTGTTTTTGGAGGAAGAAACACGTTGTTTTCGTGGAGTCAGATGGCGTTTGTGGCTCCGCTTGATAAGATTGAAGGGGATGGGTTGGAGAGTTTGACGCTGAGAACCGATGACGACGTTCCGGGAGGAGGAGGAGGAGGAGGTGACGTCCCAGGAGGTAGTAAACCTCCAAATGATTCTGGAAGCAGTCGGGTTGGCTTTATGGGCTTGAACGAGGCGACCCTTCTGATTTTCTGCTCTCTTGTCTTCTTGGGCATGTCATGTTGACCATGTACGTTGCTCGAATAAGAAATATATTCTTTGGTGTTGTGCCTCATCTTCTTCCTTCCCCCTGTGAACAAAAGATCTGTGAATGAGGCTTCAGCACCGTTTCACTGTTCTAGTTATCAAGCAAGCTCTTTATCAAACCTATATTTCTGGAGCTGCGCTCATTCTCAGCATATCGAGTGGCTCAGTGATTTAGTATCGTGTGGGAGCATGGTATAGTTGCCATATAGTTTAGCGACGATAGGTCTCATCCACGTCAGTAATTATATAGAAGGCCGCATCAACACGATAGACAGCGCAATGTTTGTAACAGATAAACTGATTCAACCCTGAGCACACAGTGGAAGTGAGATTACCTCCGAAATGTCATCGGGGATAAACCACACTGTTCCAACAGGCTCCTTATAAAGCCCCGCAAAGCGACACAAATTAACCACAGGACAACATCCCCGTTCACTGGACGATTTAGAATTACCGGCTGGAGTACTCTGGGAATAGCTCTTCAGGTCGCAGCTCGAGGAATCCGAGCCCTTTCACTACGTCCATACAGCGTAAAATGATAACCCACAGAATAAATCCGGCTTTGGCGTGGAATTGCTTGAATAACAGCACTTCCTCCTCCGCGTCATCTTCTGCCGCCGCCCCCATTTCTACCGAAGTCCTGGAGGGGAATCTTCGACGAACATTGATAACAGGAACAATTCATTTCAAAATTTGTGGCTTCAGCTTTTCAAGCCATGTCCGGGGTATTGGCTTCTACTTGTATATTGAAAGCCCCACCTAAACGACTATCACAATGTGTTCTGTTCCAGGATACCCCAGTGAAGCTAGGATTGGTTTCACCACGAGTGGTAGCGGGGCGGGCTCTGTCTACTCAATAGACAGAGGTGTATGTTACCTTCGCTTCAACTTGGGTGACTCTCAGGGCTCAATGCATCATACAAAGCCTCAACCTAGAGTAAAAACCACTCTGTCATTTCAGTATTTCTATCAAGAGGGGTTCTGTTCTGTGCAAGCGAGTCTCCCCTGTAGAATCCCCTCCAATAGTTTTGCCAAAAACTTTGAGCTGTGCAATGAGAGGTCCATGATGAATGAATGGTCTTATCAAAGCATTGTTCTGGCAGGCCGGTAGTTAACTAACTAGTTAAACGAATGCATAGTTACATAAGCAAATGAGAATGCATGCAGCCATCATCTCATAGATGTGTGACTAGGGAGACGAGAAACAGGCTGGATATGGGCTTGATTGGTTTCAGGTGCTGATGTTTGTTGTTGTAGTTGTAGTTGTTGTTGTTGTTGTGTCGCCCTCAGTCAGGTGACGGGAAGATCACAAGCGGCAAGTTTAACTACCGCCGTTTCAAGATCATGCAGAGGAATGATTCGATTCTCTGTCAACACTGGAGGTTGGACACGGATCACCCCTAGGCTTGCTGGGCAATTCGGGAATTCAACGCTTAAGCTTCGGGGATCTTCTCGGGGCGAGTCGGCAGAAGCGAATGCTCGGAGATCACCCCACTGGTTTTAATGATCTGGCACCCGACGCTGCTGGAGAAACGGGTGAATGGTACTTACATGAATTCTCATGCTCTTTGGTCGTTTCTGAGCCAGTTACATCCAAAAGATTAGTTAATTAATGATGTGGCGCTTGCCGTCAGGACATGGATCAGCCTTGGAGATTTTTTTTTTTTTTTTTTTTTTTTTTGCGCGCGGGCTTAACTAACTACTTGCTTACCCGAGGCAGAATGATTCCCGCTCTGAGTAGCCCCACTTCTCAGCGGGCGTGGAGTTTGGTTGGGGAGAAGAAACAGGAAAGAAATGGAAGAGAATGCTGATATGAGGCTCTTCCCACTAACCTAACGCCTAGCTGGCGCGTGTGAATGCTTGGTGGATACCGGGAAGTGGAGAGCTGATATGCAATAGGAGAGACCTGTTATTGCGGAAAACACGCCGTCCTGCAAGCCAAATATGGGCAATGGACGGCGACCCCTGTTTCATGCAACGCTTCGCAGAAACGTCTCTTCAGTCAGTTGCCTGCTCGTTGGCTAGCTGCGCTTCTCAAAATTCGCTGCACCAACTGGACTTCTCCCTGCACCTGGTGCACCTGGCTGGATTCGGAGTGCCTCTGGTCGGTGAAAAGAAACGACGATGAAATATGAAAGCGAAATCTGAGTGGTCACTTTGTGCCCCCCTCACTACATGGGGTAGCCTCTCATGTTTAAATTTTTCCAGACGAGACAAAATGATGCAAGGGGAGGGTTCGTCCAGCTTAGCACCGGAGGGAAATATTAATGCCATTATTTGGTTATTTAAGCAGCTTGTCAGTCTCCCTCAATGTCGTTTTCCAGAGCCTGCGAGGTCTTAATGTTGGCTCCACAAAAAAACCCATCGGCTATGCACGACTTGAACAAAGAATTGGATATATGAAGGAACCTATTTAATTTCTCTCATTTTGCTTACCTCCCCTCACTTCCAAAAGTTCCACGACCGACCATTGCATAAAATCCATTCAGCATTTCCACGATGAGAGTCACAAGCGGAAACCTGGCGATACCGCGGGGTTCCCTCATCGTGGTCACCGGCGCTAACGGATACATCGCTAGCCATATCGTCAACCAACTGCTCCAGGCCAACTTCCGTGTGCGGGGCACAGTGCGCAATGTCACCAAAAACCTCTGGCTCAACGACTATTTCACTTCCAGGTATGGAGCTGGAAAGTTCGAGCTCGTCGAAGTGCCCAACATGGCCGTTGCGCACGCTTACGACGAAGCTGTAAAAGGTGCAGCAGGTCTGATACACACCGCCACCCCAGTCCTGGTATCCTACGACCCCAACGAAGGGATTCCTATGGTTACCAACGGCACCATAAACACTCTAGAGGCTGCGCGGAAGGAACCGTTAATAAAACGAGTGGTACTGACGTCCTCCTCTACGGCGGCCGCAAGCCCACAGCCAAATGTAGAGTTTACCATGGATGAGGGAACGTGGAACGAGGAGATTGTGCGAGCGGCGTGGGCCCCCCCGCCGTACGAAGGGCTGCAACGGCGCCACAATGTCTACGCAGCCAGCAAGACGCAAGGCGAGAAAGTAGCGTGGAAATGGATGATAGAGAAGCAACCGAATTTCGTGCTGAACACAGTTCTGCCCAATGCGAACTTTGGCAAGGTGCTCAGTCCGCAGCATCAGGGGTTTCCTTCCACGGCGGGGTGGGTGAAAGCCGTCTGGGAAGGGTTCAGGGGTCAGTATGCGGATGATGTGTTTAACAAACCGCAATATTACGTTAATGTGCGAGACGATGCGCTGGTGCATATTGCTGCGTTGATATATGAAGATGTACGGGCGCAGCGCCTTTTTGCGTTTGCTCAACCTTACAATTGGAATGATATCCTGGCAGTGATGAGGAAGTTGTATCCCGGAAGGGAGTTTATTGATGACATTCCTGATCTGGGCAAGGATGTAAGCAAGGTTACGAATCAAGAAGCTGAACATTTGCTAAACAGGATATCGGGGGCCAGTTGGACCAGTCTGGAGCAGACGATTAAAGAGGCCACGGAGGATTTTCTGTAATTCTATCCGAATTGGGTTTAAAAAAAGAGAAAGGAAAAAAAAGAAAAAAAAAAAATTCTCCCCCAAAAGATGTTTTAGCCAGTGTCTTCTCTTTGTTAGCTTTGGGCGCGCGGCGTTTTTTGGTTGGTCTTATAAAGTGGGAGGAGTGTTTGGGGATCGAATTATGTGAAAACATCATTCAATGATTATGGCGTAGCAGCACAACGGGAGTCACTTGGGCATGGTCAATATCTATCTTGACATTGATTTTGATGATAATGACATCAAATGCTAGGAATAACGACGGTATTGAAGATTTGGTATACAAGAGCAAAATAGGAAGAAACACAGATAATCAACACCGACTCTTTATTCCAAAATAAGGAATCCCAATCTAATACAACTTTAAAGCGTTATATATCTCATTACGAGCTCTGTGCACCATCGGGATCCGAATCATCGCCATCATCTTCACCATCACCATCATCATCATCATCATCATCAATAGTTTCAACTAGTAGAGTTCCACCCCTGCCGATTTTTTCTCCAACGGAGCCTCCAGCATTAACCTCGTATACTACGCGAGGCATAGGCGAGACGAGACGAAAACCGTACTTGTGTTCGAATCCATCAGGGGGGGGTTGACTAGCTCCTGAAGATGAAGATTCGCTCCCGTCTCCATCTGCATGCAGGATATCATAACATTCGACAAAGGCATACAGTTCCTCAATATCTGCAGATCCAGAAAATCGACGAATCACCCTGTCCCCTGATGCAAGGCGAATGCTAAGGCGAACAGCCTGCTTGTCGGTTGCAGGCGGCTCGTGTGGTAGCGACTGGACTCGCCATCGTTTCCACTGTTCAAGATATCTTGCGAGCTTTTCGGCTGCTGCCCGTCTTTCTCGCGCTTCGTTCTCCTCCCGTTGGCGCGCTTCTTCCGCCGCCCGTCGTTGCCTGGCGCGCTCTCTGTCCTGTGCGAGTGATCGCTCGTAGGCAGAATCTTGCTCTTGACGGATTGTTCGGGACGCCCGCTGTTCAGCTCTTGTGGCTCGGACACGATCAAGTGGAGCTTGGCTCTGTGTGATTGCGGAGCGAAGCTTTTCTATCAGTTCTGAGGGAGTAGTAAATCCGGAGGCTTTAGCTACTACGGACATGGCGGTTGCAGACACATTCGGGTTATGAACAATTAGTCCGAAAAAGGGAAATTTGGTACATCGAAGGCCACTGGCGACCTGATAAGCCTCCGAGTCGCGAACATTGCCAGCCCATACTAAAATTTGGTTGCTTGAATCGTTTATGAAGTCCACGACTTCTTTCGAGAGTATGGTATCTCGGATCCAACTGCTGGTATCATCATGTTCTGGAGATAGCAGGATCACGAGCAGGTACTTTAATTCTTGGTGAGCCTTTTCCAGCGCCATATTATACCCATTTTCCAGAAAGGGAACAGCATGGCTTCCATATTCTTCTTCAAACTCCCGGATGAATCTTAGGGCAGAGTCCTTAGGCCCCAACGGCCTTCTCCCACTGGTATCTCGTCTTGCCCCTTGAACTCCAGCAGCTGCAAAATTACTCAGTAATCGCGGTAGAAACGGGAACAGAGCTCCAAAAAGGCGAAATGAGCTGATCAATAATTTGTAAAGGAGACTAAGCGGTGTGAAAAGGATGGCCGGTAAAAATGGAGGACGATAGACTGGTTGGTCCACTGGTTGGGATGTTATGCGTGGAGCCAGTTCAGCTGTGCGTCGTGCATAATAAGAGCTCAGAGGTATATCGTCATCATCGCCATTCATTAGATTACGTGTGATTCGGGATGGGTACGCGGGAGGGGTATCCATGGCAGCCTGTGCTTCCGCAACAGGATCCGGGACCTCGCCATCAAAAAATTTGGTTATCGCAATCTGTAACAAAAACCGTTGGCATGCTGCATTCCCACTTTGAATTTTGGAAACAGGCCCCAAGAACATAATTACCTGGACATTCCATTCCGACCGCTGAAGCAGTGGAACAGCGGCTGATTCATCCTGCCCGGTAACGGCAATATAGGTCTGTAGGGTGGTTTGCTGGCTAGGGGAAAGCTGAGAAATGTCTATTGCTTCGGTCGACATTATGGCGACTAGTCCCCAAGCTCCATTCAGCGTATAGAGAGAAAGGGGGAGGTTGAAGGGATTCAGCGGAGTTTATATATAAGTCGCGGGCATTCATTCCATGGGAATGTGCAAGGTTGGCAATTCAAGGAGCAGGCAGCAAATGCGGTAAGAAAAGCAAAAGTCTCGACGTATCAGACAACTAGCCTATCGGCCAGCTATACAACTCCAAGGAGTCGAGACGTTGAAGGGCGGATTTCATGCAAAATTGCAACTTGGGGTTATTATATTAAGGCGTTGGAGTTGTTTTGAGTTGTTTGAGCTGAAATTATTAAGTTGGTTTGAACTTTTAGTTAACTTATCCGGTTTAGGTAAGTAAGTTGGGTATGGGGGTTGGGGGATTGAAGCTTGTTTTGCCCTAGATAGCCCTTACCTAAGCAGCTTGGACCAAAACCAACCGGTCAAGGCCAAGGGACCGGAGTTTGGGCAGAAAAAACTCTGCATTGGCACCAAACCGGCCGTACGATTTGGGGTTTAGTTTTTTTTTGGGGTGGTTTATCGCTCTTCCTGCCAACTTTTGTGAACTGGCCCCTCTTGCTGTTGTCACATGCACCAACAACACAAACCACTCGCAACTTCAACAACAACAACAACTCCAAACACATGAATTTACGCCCTGTCTATGCTAACTGGGCTAACTGGAACCCGCAGCCCTGATTCGCCAACGCCACCTCCGCACCTTCCAAGGTTGGATGGAAAGAACGAACGTCTTCCTTCCTTTCCCCAGACTGACTACAGGCTGACTAAGCCACTCCCCCCCCCTTCCCAACCCAAATCCAGTGACTCGCTGTTCAATCGACAGAGACACCGGAAAAGCTCGCCGCATTTTTCCCAAGAACAAATCTCCGACTTCATTCTCTGCGGCTGCTTCATCTGTGCCTGGTATTCGGCTTATGCTTATTCCTGGCCTTTCTCTCTGTCTCTCGATTTGCTCTCGTGTCTCTACCTTCGATACGCAGCTGATCATCTTCCTCTCCGTCTTGTAATTCCGATCCCCCAGATGCCCTCCTTGGACCAACTCAACCCGAACGATCGCCGCCTCACCTAATATGCAGTGAGTCGCACAATAGCCAGTGACCGTCTCTCTGGAATGCGGTTCATTTCATCCGCCTGTAGCCGCCCCCGATCTGTTGCGTACCGCTTCTCTTAGGTCAATGGAGTGCCTTTGGTGCTGAGTGAGCTGTGTTGGATCTGCGGATATGGCTTCAGCAGGAAAGCCCAACTTGGATGATTCAAGACGAAGCACCGGGTCGCCGAAGTTGAAGGGTCGCGGTATGTGTGCCGGACACCTGCATCAGATCTCTTTTTGCTCTGTCTTTGTTTCCTGATCCAGTTTGACTCTTTTTCTTTTCTTTCCTTTCTCTACATAATCAATGTCATTGTTGTGAAGCAATCGAACAGCGAATCCGGAGCTAATTGTTCTGGTGGCCCTAGAAAATGCAAAAGATACCCTTTGCCGTAACGTGACAATCTACGGCCGATGTCGATACGAAGACAAAGGTGCTTAGGAACTGCGTATTGTTGTATTGAGCTTTTTTAATCAGGAACAGTAATTGACTTGTCTATTATTGAAAGGTTGCGCATTCAACCATGACCCGCACAGGGTCAACGCCCCGCACGGCACCGACAGGTTAGCTCAGCAGCTTTTCCCGCTAAATATAACCCGTGGGCTCACTCCTTGTGTCAATGATTCCAGCAGCAGTAGCCACAAAAAACGCCTCAATGTCGACTCTCCCAGCTTCACTCCTTCACTCCTGAATGGCTCGGCAAAGAAAGTTACCTCCACGACCACCATCTCCCCGAAGGCTGCCAGCGCAGCCCCGTTTCTCCCCAAGGGCATAATATCACGTATGATGCCAATCTCCCTTGAGCATTGCACTATTGGCGCACCTTGAATTGACATCAACTACCAGGCTCGAATGCTTCTACGCCTCCCATCCGTCAGGATACGTCGACTCCGGAGTGGACTGTTGCAGATATTCCAGACTTCATACCTCAGGGATTCGATACAACTCAAGTGGTATGAAGTTATCTTCGATGTGCTACTCTTTTCCCTGCCTATTAATAATCAGTTAGCCTTTAAAAAAAAAAAACTAAAATTCCCCTTGTCACTTGCCTCTTTAATGTGTGAAGGGGTGAAAAAAAAAAAAAAATTGAATACTTCTTATTTTGCCTCGGGTGATTGGTTCAGATGCGCCTTTGGTTTTTCTTCTATATTGCTGACACTATGCAGGACCATTTGCAAGGAAATGGCAGTGGAGGGATATCAGCAGGCGCTTTTGATCCATTTGTTGCCCCTTCTGCCACTCCATTGACCACTCCTGGCGCTGTGGGTCCTCAGATTACCCCAAATCCGTATGTTCATGATCCTACCGGTCTTGGTGCCGCAGCATACTTTGGCGCACAGAACACTTTCCAACAACCTGTATGTCTGTGTGATTTCTCCTGTTGTATTTCCTGTGAAAGTTAATTAATAATAGGTTCAATACCATCTCTACGCGCCCATTGGACCACACAATTCGAATATTTTGGGCTACCAAAGGAATGTCCATGACTTGTTTCTCCCAAATGATTTCCGAGAAGAGCTACAGAAGAAATCAGCAGCCACATTGCAGACTCTTCCTAGTACGTTTCACGTCGCATGCTTCTTTATTCCTTGAATCTGGCTCAGATTATTATTTACTAAACCTACTTGAAGACTCTCAACTTCCAGCACAGATAGATCATTTTCACTCTCTTGTGCCCCTCGACCTCTCACATCAGAAAAATGCGGCCATATTCGGGTACCCCAGTTGGGTGTACAAAGCACAATCAAGCAAAGACGGGAACTTTTATGCTCTAAGGCGGTTAGAAGGTCTGTTCAGCGAAGACCTTCATCTTGCGAACCTTCACTTACATTAATCATTCTGAACAGGTTTCCGCCTGACCAGCGAAAAAGCCATTCGATCAGTTCAAAACTGGAAACGAGTCAGCAATGGCAGCATAGTGACAGTCCATGACGCCTTCACGACCCGTAGTTTCCAGGACAGCTCATTAATATTTGTGACTGATTACCACCCCATGTCCAAAACTCTAGCTGAACACCATCTTGGAGGCTCCAATCGACTTCAAACTCGCCACGCGGGAACACATATTCCTGAGCAAATTCTCTGGAGCTATGTGACCCAAATCGCCTCTGCGTTGAAAGCAATTCACAGTGTAGGATTGGCTGCACGTGTAATTGATGCCAGCAAGGTTTTGCTCACAGGTAAAAATCGCATCCGCCTAAATGCATGTGCCATTTTGGATGTGGTACAGCACGATTCCCAGCGATCAGTGGCAGACCTCCAGCATCAAGACTTGGTCAACTTTGGCCAGTTGATAGTCACTTTGGGCGCGAATTCTCCTTCCGTCATACACAATCCAACCAAGGTCATGGAGCATTTTGCGCGAGCATACACCCCCCAATTGAAGAACTCCGTTTTCTGGCTCCTTGGCGCATTGCAAAAGGACCAAGAACGCAACATTGATATCTTCGTCACCGGCATCTCCTCCCAACTCATATCCACTTTCGACTCCGCCCTCCACCTCGATGACCAACTCACCTCCGATCTCTGCCGGGAACTCGAAAACGCGCGTCTCGTCCGCCTCCTCACCAAACTCAATTTCATAAACGAACGACCCGAGTACGAACATGATCGCCAGTGGTCTGAGAATGGCGAACGCTACTTCCTAAAGCTATTCCGCGACTATGTATTTCACCAGGTCGATGCACAGAATGCACCAGTC